GATGAGTGGTGTAGGTTTGTGCCCAGGAACTGAACCCAGGATGCTGAAGAAGAGCATGTCGAACTTAACCGCTAGGCCGCTGGGGCTGGCTCTTGTGACCCTTAAAAGAATTAAACGTTACTGACAGCCTGGACCTCTCCCCTAAACTCCAAACTCACACGTCAGAATGTGTGTCCATGATATCTCCACCTGCATATCTAGTAGACATCTCAAATTCAAACATGTCCCAAATCAAAGTCCTCATCTTCCCTCCCAAATCTGCTCCTCCTTTAGGCTTCTCCATCTCAGTTAATATCAACAGCATCTTTCTAGTTGCTTAGGCTAAATGATTGTGCTGTCCCCCACAACACTTTCTCTATCACACCTCACATCCAAACCATCAACAGATTCTGTTGGCCCAACCTTCACGATATACCCCCAATTGAGCCACTTATCACCTACACTCTTGCCATCTTAGTCTAAACCACTATCATCTCCCACCTCAATTATTACAATAACCTCCCAGCTAATCTCCCTGATTCTTCCCTTGGTCTCCTGCAGCTTTTTCTCAAGACAGCAATCAGACTGATTGTGTTAAGACTATATTTAAGGATTTCTGTTTTTCGTTGAGGTATAAAATACTCCTCTGTTCAAAAACCCACTAATGGATTCCTATACTAGGATAAAAGCCAAATCCTTACAAGTGCCATGAGACCCTATACCACAAGGTCCACGTGCCCTCTCTCTCAGATCCATCTCCCACTACTCTCCCCTGTCACCCCCACCTCTACTGTAGCCTCATCAGTCTTATTGCCGTTCCTTGAGCCAGGCATGATCCTACTTTGGAGCCTTTTTTTTTCTTCCTCTCATCATTACGTCAGCTGTAGATTTCTATTTGGTTAGGTTAAGGAGGTTTCCTTCATATTCCTAGTTTGCTAAGGTTTTTTTTTGTCGAAAATTTACATACCATAAAATTAACCATCTTAAAGGGAACAATTCAGCGGCATTTAGTCCATTCACAATGTTGGGTAACCATCATCTCTATCTAGTTCCTAAACATTTTCATCACTTTGGAAAGAAAAGAAAACCCTGTACTCATTAAGCAGTCACTCCCCATTCCTCCCTCCCTCTAGCCCCTGGCAACCACCAAGCTGCTTTCTGTCTCTGTGGTTTTGCCTATTCTGGATATTACATATAAATGAAATTATACAATATGTGTCCTTTTATGACGTTTTTTCACTTAGCATCATGTTTTTGAGGTCCATCCACATTGTAGCATGTATCACTACTTCATTCCTTTTTATGGCTAAATAATATTCCTTTGAAAGAATATTCTCCAATCTATTTATCCCTTAATCTGTTGATGACATGTAGGCTGTTTCCATCTTTCGGCTGTTGTGAATAGTGCAGCTATAAAACATGCATGTACAGGTAGCCAAGTCCCTGCTTCCGACTCTTTTGGGTATATACCTATGAGTGGAATTGCTGGGTCATATGGTAATTCTGTTTGACTTTTCGAGAAACCGCCAAACTGTTTTCCACAGTGGCTGCACCATTTTACATTCCCACTAGCAGTGTAGGAGGGTTCCATTTTCCCCTTCGGGGCTTTTGCATTTGCTATTCTCTCTCTCTGGGATGCTCTTCTGATAGATACCCAAGTGGCTCGCTTCCTCACCTCCTTCGAGTCTTTACTCAGTTGTGATCTTCTCATGGAGGCCTACCCTGACCATCAAATTTTTTTTTAACAATAGCTATGATTTATTAAATGATTACATCAGACATTGTACCACGTACTTTCAAGACATGATGTCTTAATCTCCAACAGCCTTGAAATGTGGCTGGTGTTATTCTCATGTATTTATTTATTTATTTTTTCCTTGTGTGTCCACCTGTAATTTTCTTTTTACAATTTTTTCATCGAGGTAACACTAGCTTATAACATCATATGGATTTTAGATGTACGTCATTATATTTTGATTTCTGTGTAGATTACATCACGTTCACCACCCAAAGACTAATTACCGTCCATCACTGTACACATGTGCCCTGTCACCCCATCCACCCTCCTCCCTCCCCACTTCCCTTCTGGTAACCACCAATCTAATCTCTGTATCTTTGTGTGTGTTTGTTGTTGTTTTTATCTTCTACTTATGAGTGAGATCACATGGTATGGTATTTGATTTTCTCCCTCTGACTTATGTCACTTAGTATAATACCCTCAAGGTCCATCTGTGTTGTCACAAATGGCCCTGACAACCAAATTTGAAATAGCAACCGTCCAACCCCCAACCCATACTCACCATCCTCCTTCCCTACTTTATTTTTCTCCATAGTATTATCACATGACATACTATATAATTTTCTTATTTTCAATTGTCTGTCTTCCACCACTGAAATGTAAGCCCTACGAGGGCAGAGATTTCAGTCTGTTTTTCCAGCACCTAGAATAGTGTCAGGCACATAGTAAGTGCTCAATAAATGTGTGCTAAGCAAATATATGAGGCCCAAAGAGGTGTTTGGCCAAAGTGTGACAAAATGAGCAAGAAACTAAGTCTCTGTAGTTCTTAATTTTTGTTTATTTTTGACAATGATTGGCCCTGACCTAACATCTGTTGCCAAGCCTCCTCTTTTTGCTGGAGGAAGATTGTCTCTGAGCTAACATCTGTGCCAATCACCCTCTATTTTGTACGTGAGATGCCACCACAGCATGGCTTGATAAGCTGTGTGTAGGTCTGCACCCAGGATCCGAACCCACGAACCCCAGGTCACTGAAGCAAAACATGTGAACTTAATCACTATGCCATCAGGCCAGGCTCAGTCTCTGTAGTTTAGAGGTTATTTTTCTAATAATAGTGATGGATTGAAACTGAGCCAATCACACCTTTTATTTAACTTTAACCAAAAAGCACACATGCGTGAGATGGCTATTTCTGAATCAGGTGAAAGAACTATTTAGAATAGCCTGAGGTAAAGGGATCAGACTGTCAAGCTAAAACTCATTAGCATCAAATAAAACTCAACTGTCTATAATAAGTAAGTTTAATACTGACACTGTGAAATGGTTTATTTAAACAAAATTTAAAAAATGATGCTACGGGACTCAGAACTTTAAGAGTATCATACTTTAAGAGAATGAACCTAGGTGGCCAGCCTGGGGTTGGCCAGTTCGGATCCCGGGTGCGGACATGACGCTGCTTGTCAAGCCAGGCTGTGGCAGGCATCCCACATATAAAGTAGAGGAAGATGGGCACGGATGTTAGCTCAGGGCCAGTCTTCCTCAGCAAAAAGAGGAGGATTGGCAGCAGATGTTAGCTCAGGGCTAATCTTCCTCAAAATAAATAGACAACATTGTCTAAAAAAAAAAATAGGGTCAGCCTCGTGGCCGAGTGGTTAAGTTTGCACGCTCTGCTTTGGTGGCCCAGGGTTTCACTGGTTCACATCCTGCACGCAGACATGGCACCGCTCATCAGGCCATGCCGAAGCGGCGTCCCACATGCCACAACTAGGACTCACAACTAAGAATATACAACTACATACCGGGAGGCTTTGGGGAGAAAAAGGAAAAATAAAATCTTTAAAAGCAAAAAAAAGAAAGTGAACCTAATATATACTGTGAGAAATAGAACCTATGGAAGAACACAAAGCTGGACCCCTACCTAAAATATTGAAATAGCAAGAATGTGGTTTATCATATTTGTGAACTAAGATAGAGGCAAAGAAAATATCTGTATATAAAAGAGAACCTATGTTAAAACCACAAAGAAGCTATTTCTGGGCAAAAGTTTAAAACTTGGTGTAATTAATGCTGCTCAATTGTTCACTTGAAAATGGTTAAAATGGCAACTTTTATGTTATAAATTTTTGCCACATTTTTTGAAAAGTAAAAGAAAAATGGGCAGAAAGATGGTGGATGAAAAAACATCCTTGAGAAGCATATGGAAATAAAGACTAGAATATTGCTATGTCCACTACTAAGAAACAAGCCACTTTGGGAGATTCTGGCAAATCATTTACAGCAGAAATCATTCTGGAAAATTAAAACTAATGGATTCAACTCTTTTGACTATGAATTGCAAGGAGTATATTACATAACAAGTGGTCAATGAAACTGGCTTTCAATATGTTTCTGCTTTAGGCTAAATATTTGTGTCCCCTCCAAAATTCATATATTGAAACCAAATTCCCAAAGTGATAGTATCTGGAGGTGGGGCCTTTGGGAGGTGATTAGGTCATGAAGGTGGAGCCCTCATGAATGGGATTAGGGCCCTTATGAAAGAGACACCAGAGAACTCTCTCACCCCTTTTGCTGTGTTAGGACACAGCAAGAAGATGATCGTCTGTGAACCAGGAAGTGAGTCCTTACCAGACACTGAATCGGCCAGTGCTTTGATCATGGACTTCCTAGCCTTCAGAACTGTGAGAAATAGATTTCTATTTTTTTTTTTGTGAGGAAGATTGGCCCTGAGCTAAAATCTGTTGCCAATCTTCCTCTATTTTCTGTGGGATGCAGCCACAGTGTGGCTTGACGAGTGGTGCTAGGTCCGCACTCGAGATCCGATCCTGCGAACCCTGGACCGCCAAAGCAGAGTGCACAAACTTAACCACTACACCACTGGGCCAGCCCCAGATTTCTATTGTTTATAAGCTACCCAGTCTATGGTATTCTGTAGAGGCCCAGATGGACTAAAAGCAGTTTCAAAGTACAATTCAAGAAGTTCTGATGTTAAGCAGAAAAAAACACTCATTGTTGAGGCAAACAACTTCAGAGCCTGCCCACCTTCATGGTTATTAAGATCACAAAGGGACTCTTGCCAGCCTTTAAATTTCAAGAAATTAGTAAAGCATAAACAGTGAGCTTTTAACTGTGCCGGAGGAAAAACTGCAAGATGCACTCAGCAGATAAAGCTCTCAGTCAGCAGGCTAAGTAATCAGCTTTCATGTAAGAAGTGAAGCAATGCTCCCAGTTATACGATAAAATCTACAGCTTTGATACGAAGTTATTTATTAAAATAATTCCTGAGGCACTTTAACAATACAAATTTTATTAAAAAAATAAGTAATAACATCAAAACTGTTCAGCAAATCTATATTCAATGTAACCAAAATAAACAAACACCAAATTAAAAAAAATATACATCTATATATATATGGGCAAGAAACAAGTGCATTTTTTGGTCCCAATATTTTTTGAATATATTATCTTTATCCAAAGGAATTACATCAATGGCTAAGAAGATATGTATTAGATATACAGAAATGTAACTTTAAAACTTGTTTTAAGGTCTGTAGGAAGTGTTTTTTGCCAATTCTTTATGTCTTTGAACTCACAATCACTAAGATAACGATAGTCCCAAGATAGAGGATGTAATGACATCTAATAGTCTGAACAATTACCAAATTAAGAAGCTTCCAATAGGTAGCTACATGAAATCTGTAGAGAATTCTAAGGAATTTCTCGGAGGTCTTAAAAAAAACAACACAAAACAAAAGTTTTAAAGAGAAGAGATAAAAGTGGCCATAACAAAACAGACATCAATAAATTTGGTGAAGAATAACAGAAAACAAAGATAACAAAATTAAATTAAACTTTAAAAAATTAAAAAAAATTTGAATATTAGTATTGCTGAAAACTCCTAGGGTTAATACTGGATAAAACTTTAAATGACAGTACAAATAATTCTAACTTTGGAACTGTAATTTTAGGAACTTGTTTTCCAAGAACATGAAAGTAACCTTAGTTCCCTACACAACCAGCTTTTATATTTGTTGGACTGCATGCATGTTAGAGGAAGGTTAAACGGCAGCAGCCAAAATGCTTAAACTTCAACTTGAATGTTGAAGCACTGATTTCGATGGGCTTTTCTTGGTCATAATCGACCCATAATCTAAAGATCGAGAACCAAAGCCCCCAGTGGGAAGTTGTGCTCAATTTGGTGGGCCTTGAGGTCATCTCTGGTCAAATTAGCATCAGCCTTATGGGAGGCCAGTCATGAAGGAAGGGACTCTCCCCAAGATCTGATTTCTTAAGGCCACAACCTACAGGAGGTCTCACAGTCAAATAATTCACATTCGTTGGAAAGAGAGGACAGGCATCAGTTGTGTCCATCGAAGCGGGACACTGACCAGGAGTACCCTGGACATTTTTTGAAATTTCTGTGTTGAAATTCTGCATCTGAAAAATATGAAAAATAGAACAATGACAGACAAGGAATGAGGAGAAAGACAGCTATCTGACCTAAAAATGTAAGACTTATAAGAAATTAACTAAGAAACCAGACAAAACAGACAAAAAAGATGAACAGCCATATTGTTTGGAATGCATTATTCTGAAGGCAAGTACAGCAGAGAAAAACACAAATTATTTTAAGCAAAGCAAGAAGAGACCATAGCAACAAAAGTTATTTTTGGAGAGAGCCAACTGGAGAAAGAAAGCATATGTTAAGATATGTTAACCTGACACAAAGATAAGGTGGAATAAGAGTCTAGTGCCGTCTGGAAGCTGAAAAGAGCTGAATAATGAGAGCTAGTGTCCTGAACTTGGCTGTTTAACCGCCTTCATGTGAGAAAATACTTCAGAACTTTGAACTTAGGAAACTGCCTTTGTGTAAGAAAACACCTCAGAACTTTGAACTTAGGAAATTCCAACTTGTCTTGCACCAGGTTGCACGAGCTCCATAGAGCGGGAATCTATTTCAACAAGCGGCTTTAAAAACAAAAACAAAAACAAAATACTTTAATATTTTTCATTTCTATTAACGATACATTTAAAAAATGCAAGTGCTAAAATCTATCGAAGAAAAATGCACTGAATAAAAATTAACTTACTCAGAAAGGGGTTCAGAAGTTGAGGTACTTTCAGGAACTGAAATTAGAAGAAGAGTTTTACATTTAAAATGGCAAATATGATGAGTGAGATGATCAGTTTAATACATAAGAGCCCATATTGTGGCTGATCAAGAAATACTGGAATAAATATCAGAAATTCAAAGTAACGCAGTTAGAGATACGTACCATTCTCTATTATAACTTGGCAAGTATGAGTTTTACGTTGACTTAAGTGTTTAGCCATACGATCTAAACCAGAAGAATCAGTTAGGAAATCACATTTAAGGCACACCAGAGTAATGCCCCTAGGAAAAAAAGAAGACACAAAGAAAAGGTTTTTATCTTTTATGAAAACCCATATACAAGTTCAAGAATTATTTTTTCATCTAATAACTCTTGATTTGCTTCTTATGTGTCAGGACCATCATTTCCCAATTTTGTTATATAAGCCCAATATATCTGAAATGGTACTTGCTAACATTTAGTGTTTTATGAACTGTTCCCTCTCATACCAGTTACTAAAAGATGAGTCAAGGGACCTACAGCCCAGTCGTGTCTCCACTAGTAGCTTGTATAACTAGTGCAAGGCACGATCTCCCCGGCCTTTGGCCACTTGCAAAGTAAGGCTGTAATACTCATCCATTCAGTAAGCATTTGCTGAGGGCCTTCTTTATACCCTCTGTACTACTAGGTGTTACGGATACAAGAGTGAACAAAAAAGGGTGTGCTCTGTGGAGGCTACAATCTAACGTCTTATTTAAGTGATGATAAAATCAGAAAAGAAATGAGAAGCCTTTAAAAATAAATCATGTAATGTAATTATTGCCATTATCAGCTTATTAACAAAGCATAAATATACTTTTGCAGTTCATTTTAAATTTAAATACTTTACATTTAAGTATTTCACCTGTATAGGAATAGAGACCAGCTGCGTACCTTACACTGACTTCTCCCCTGCAGCTCTAGTCCCAACAGCCTGATGTGTATTTCCATCGAGCTGTCACAGTGGCACACCAAAAAAATCTGCATAAAACTGAAGTCATGTGCTTCCCGTCCCACCCCCAAAAATCACTCCTCCAGAACAATGTGAAAAAAAATGATACTTAGTGTATTCTGAGCTAAGTGAGTGTGGTATAATCAAAGTTAATTTACAATGCCTTTAGAAATGTTCATCAACAATTCCTTCTGTAAAATAACAAGTTGTATACTTTTCTTCATTTCAAAAAGAAAAAAACCCTAAGAATTATGAAGGCTATATATTGATCAAAAACAAAGAAATGTTAGTCACTTTACTGGGTGTCGTAAACATCTTTTAAATATTGAAATATTGTTGGAGAGCCTTATTTTTTAAATTTTATAATGTAAATCCATGAAGCTTTCATCTTTTTTTCCTCCCCAAGTCCCCCCCAGTAGGTAGTTGTACACTTTCAGTTGTGGGTCCTTCTAGTTGTGGCATGTGGGATGCCGCCTCAACATGGCCTGACGAGCGGTGCCATGTCCGCGCCCAGGGTCCAAACTGGCGAAACCCTGGGCCGCCAAAGTGTAGCATGCGAACTTAACCACTTGGCCATGGGGTCGGCCCCTGAAACTTTCATCTTAATGCCTAACACTACTGAAACAAAGTTTAGCCAGAGAATATAGGCTATCTTCTCTTTGATCTAAGGATATAATGACTAGAACGTCATTATGTCCAGTAGCAATCATTTCATTTTCCAAACTAGGTGCTCCAGCACCACATTAGAAAAAGTTACTATAAGTTTTCAATAGAGAGAATGGAAAAAGATCAACTGGTTACCTGAGAGTTCCAGAATGCTTCTTAAAAATATAAAACCGTTTACTTGGATGGTTGCTATGAGAGCTGGAGAGACAAGAGACAAATGAGATTTTATTATGTCATATTAATGTTATGACCATATTTCAAGTCCATGCTTAGTTTCTTATTTTTAAATAAAAGATCCTTATCTAAATTATAAATTTCTATTAGTCATCTCTGTTTAATTCAAGATTTTTATCTTACATTTCATTTTACCTGTGCATTGTCTAACAACATATTTCCCTGAGAATATTCTTAAATAATCTGTACCTCGCCCTTATTTTAAAAAATCTCAAAGAGCAAAACTGCAAAGGGAATCAAATTAAATATTTTCAACTATTAAGAGTTGAAAACAATTTAAAAGGTATTTTCTAATAATGAATTTCGCTATAATATAAAGTGTTGTGAATAATAATTATCACTTTCTAATCTTAATATACTTAGCAAGGGGAGAGAATCTGCATGGTCCTTGAAGTAAATGCTACTTGGGCTAAATGGCATTACTTACCATCAGTAAAATGAAATATTTAAAGAATCTTTTGCAATTACTAGGAGAGTTTTAAGGAAAAGGAATTAAAGGCAGCAGAGCTCATGAGTTAAAACAATGCTTCCTCTGCACAGAACAGAAAACTACTAACCAAATTTTGCAATCAGTGGTGACAACTTTTACATCCCCTTCTAAAGTGATAAGGAAAGCTTTCCCACACACGAAAGTCAGGCAGGATTAGCCACGGTTAGCATAGCACAGTATTATTCAAAGTGTGGTCCACGGACCAGCAGCATCTGCATCACCTGGGAACTTAGAAATGTAAAGTCTCAGGTCCCACTCCAGACTTGCTGAATTAATCTCCGGCAGTGGAGGCCAGAAATCTGTTTCAACAAGCCTTTCAGGTGACTCTTACACAATCTAAAGTTTGAGAAGCACTAGCCCTCGCTTGCACCGACAGACGCAAACCAGCCAACACACCAGGTCAACGGTTACCCTTAGACACAAGGTATCTATCACGAGTATACCATGTATGCACAGAAAAAGAAAGATTCTGGCTAACTATAATCCCAAGGGAATACCCTCAGACTAGGTTGCATGGTGAACTGAAAGAACTGCTCTCTCAAGTAGATAAGACAGACACACAATATGAAGCAGAATGGCTGAATGGTACTGAATTCAAAGACAGGAATGATTCCTATGAGTGTCTGTGGTGATCAGGTCCTTCACAGAAGACGGTAAACTGAGAGGGAAGGAGAGGAGCATTCCAAGGAATAACAAAGAATAAGGAAAAGCCACTTTAGATACTGAATATGGGACAAACTATACACTGAGGAAGATTAAGTACTTTGGGGGACCTGACTTCTGGCACAGAGTTCGTATGAGCTGGGAGTAAAGGTACTCAACATCTGAGAAAATGAAGCTTCTGGACATATAGAGCTCAAACTTATGACAAAAGTCTACACTGGGTCAGAGTGAGGGTGTACCATTCAGGGGGAGGTACCTGAGGCAACAATGGAAGCAAGGTCCCACTAAAATAGAGGAAATGCAAAGAGACCCACAAAACCCTTAGAAGAGTAGAATTGGAAGCTTTTCAGTTCTATATGAGGCTAACAGCGAGTAAGCGCTCAGCGTGTGTGATGACGACGTGGAGCAGGGTTGGGGCTCACTGGAAATTAGGAAAACGTTATGAAAGAAGCCTGGGGCCCATTGGCAATATTTTGGGATAGAATGGGACTGGAGATCCTACAAGACAGTTGAAGGGCCTATGGAAAATGGGACAGGGGAGGCCAGAATGACCCATGGGTTTAAGAAATACCAAAGATATTCTCCAGTTTAATCTCCTATAAATTAGGGGCAGAATTAAAGCCCCATGGTGGGGAGCCATGTGTTTGGCACAGAATAAGAGACTAGCATTCTTCCCGGCGTTATACTGAGAGAAAGGTGGGTTGGGGCCTGGTTTAGAGCGACCAAAGTACAGAGGCAGAACCACAGCGGTAGTTAGGAAGCAGAGTGGAAAACTGCAGAAGGCGAACTCTCAGGAAGCCATGATGAATGGCAGCAGATCAAGAGAACTCCACAGGCTTCAGAAACTTAAAGTGTGTTATTTCTCTCTGATGCTCCACGTTTATGCAAATGACACCTTGAGATAGACTGAGCTTAAAGGGTATCAGGGTGATAGTAATTTGGATTCTAGACGGACAATAATGTTTAACTTATTTGTGTTCTTTATAGATGCCAGTGAGTCAAACGGGAAAATATCTATCAAATAGTTTGAGATGAAGAGTTGGATCTCTGGAAAACTCAGCACTGAAATTAGAGGATTTACAGTTAAGAGGTAAAAGATAAAACCCTGAGAGTGGTTAAGGTACCAGGAAAGGGAATGTAAAGAGGCAAGAAAGGTTGAAGAAAGAAAAGGTAATGAAATAGAGGAGTAGCCAAAAAGGAAGAACAAACGGTGATAAGAGTTTAAGAGAAGTTGAGGAGAAGAGTTTCAAAAGTGAGTGATCAAAATTATCAAATACTCTAAAGAAGTCACAGAGGAGTAGGAATGAAAAATAGTGAGTACATTTAGTGATTAGGACAGGACTGATAACCTTTAAAGGGGCAGCTCTAACTGGTAAGTGGGGGTGATACTCAAATTACAAAGGGTAAACAAATGACAAATAAGATAGTAAAGAATACTCCTTTACAAATGTTGACATAAAAGGAAGACAAGAAAATACGCAAAGTAAAGGCAAACCTCCCACATCCTAAGAAAAAATATCTAAAAATATTTGCAGGCAGAAGGAATGTGGTTGAGAGAAGAGATGAAAGGAAGGTGTAAAAGAACTGAATAGGGTTTTGGAGGAAATGGAGCAGAGGGACAGCACAAACTTTGAAAAAGTGGGACACGTCTTTTTCTGAGATTAATGTCTAGATAAAGGTAAAAAATACTTGAAGTAGAAAAAAGTTAACCTTGGAAAAAATGAAAAGGCTGACCTCTGAGTAATTAGTAGGCAAGGTTAACAACTGAGAGACTAGAATGAAATCTTGAGGGTACGGAAGAGGATTTAAACAGATGTTGTAGATAAAAACAAAGAGGTATTTTTTAAAACTCAGGACCAAATTAGAGTTAAAGGTCATGAATTCAGAGTTGATTGAATCAAGCACAGTTCGGTAATCTAGAACTAAGCACAGAAAAAGATCAAAAAAGATAAGCGATTCAAGGATAGAAAGGTTAAGCATGACTGAAGATGTCAAGGATTCTAGAACAAGAACAAAGGAACATTCAAAACAGATGAGCTTGAGAGTGAGATTGACTATAAAGTTGGATTGTTGCTGCTGGACCGGAAAGAGAGGTGAAGACTCTGAAAGTCTAGGGTAATGAGAATTCAAAGTGAATGAATATTGTATATGAAGAGGTGGAATGGCATGGTGGTAAGGAAGGGGGTACAACATGTCAGAGGTGGATGTGAATGCTGGCATTAAAGAAGTCAAGGTACCATGAGCTCAGGCTGATCATCAAGGGGAAAAAAAACCTCTGTGAGACAAGTGCTGAAGCCCTCAAAAAAGTGGGCAAATCTTTGAAACTTGTAGTTGATTGTGACCAAAAAGTAACATAGGAGTCTTGTTAGGATCTGCAAGAAAACCACTTTTATTAGTTACACCTTATTTCTGACTGAAAATAAATGGAAATATCTTAATTTGAATAATCAACTTAGCATATTGATGTCTGAACAATTTTTGTCTATTTAAAAAAATCCATCCTGAAGGAAGAAAGTAAGCTCCTATAATGAGGTCCAAATGAAAGTAACGTGGGCTCTGAAGATTTTCTCTAGCATAGAGTACCTGGTAGGTTCAAATAATGTAAACTGAATTGATGTATGAAAAGAAATTCCAACAGTACCATCATGAGTGGAATATCCCTATAGTCTTTCATTTCACATTTCAATGAACAAATGCAAAGATGGATGGCTTGGAAGATGAATGCACAGACAGACAGAAGAGAGAGAGGGAGGATCGAAGGCAAGACAGAGAAAGAGAGAGTGAGAGCGCAGGCACACTTGAGCGCCAATCATGTTCTTAGCATCTTTGACAAACCTGGAGTCTCAAAGTGACTGATTTGAAGAGGATAACACTCATATGGTTGCATGTATTTATCGGATAAATATTTTGAAAACATTTACAATTTTGTTTGAAAATAACCACTTTTGTGTGTGTGTGAGGAAGATTGGCCCTGAGCTAACATCTGTGTCAATCTTTCTCTATTTTATGTGGGATGCCGCAACAGCATGGCTTGATGAGCAGTGCTAGGTCTGAACCCAGGATTGGCACCTGCGAACCCCAGGCCACTCAAGCGGAGCACGTGAACTTAACTGCTATGCCACTGGGCTGGCCCCAAAATGGTAGCCACTTTTTGAAAGACTTAGAAAAACAAATTTCCCTAACAAACCTATTCTAATATCATTAGTCTCACTGTTCTTAAAATTTTTTGTCCCACTAATTTCATGAGTTCTTTTGCTGGAAAATAGTACTGGGTAAGACTCTAGAAGTTCCCTACTGCTAGATCCTTTTAGCTCCTTGATGTGACAAACTGGCTTCTAATAAGACAAATTTGTTTTCAAAAAACCAACATCTTGAATGGCACTTTTGATTGGCAGTGTAACATCTTTAACTCACCTCACCATATGATTTATAAAGGCTTTGTTACAGTTAGTGTTGTATTTGCAAACATTACAGTGAATATATATTGAAAAGTGGCTTGCGAAATCTTTTATTTTGGAGTGACACTCAATGCACTTGTGAACTCCCCGACGACACCTTATGGAGACAGAAAAAATGATAAAAATATATTATAAAACAAAAATAATAAGGTAAAGCCTTATTAACGTTTTATTAATTGAAGCCAAGCTGTTTAAAGTAACATCTTTAGAGATTTATAATTTGAAAGTTTGCTTTGAAATAACAAGCTAGAATAAGTGTAAAAAATCGAGCACTAGTTAATGTTTTCCTGGAATAAAAAGGATCATATTAACCAATTCAATTATCACAAGATATAAGCACAAAATGTAAGATCAATGTAAAAGGTGACATTTATACAATAAATCAGTAATTCAAGCTCTGCTCAGCAGTTGTAAAAAGTACCTTTTTATTATCTACTTGATCTTTATGCCTGATAAGTGATTATCATGGAAATGAGCAAGGAAGTTCTGTGATTTGGTAAACTATATTACAGTAAGCCTTCAATATTCAATATTAAATTAGTACTGTATATCAGGAATAAAAGACATTACCTTAAGTTCTTCAAAGCTATGCTGATTTTATTCTTTCTGTTGCGCTGTTTCTTTTGCTTGTAAGTGGTTTTTGCTTTGCGTTTAGATGTACGTCTGCGCTGCTTACGTACAATAGGTTTACTTGCAGTGGATGCAGTTGCATGAGGCTTACTTGTCTTAGATTTACTTGCATTAGATTTTGTGGGATTCTTAGCAGTTGTACTTTTCGACTTTGGAGGTGAGACCTGAAGAGAAGAAGTGCTTGGAGTACTACTGGAAGATGTAGTCGATGGTCTTGAATGAAGAGGTCCAATTGAAGCTCGAATAGTAACCTATAAAAATGAAGACAATATACATTTTTAGAAAATTAATCATCACATTAATATTAAAAAGATCACTGCAAGCCCTCACTGGGTCCATTGGTTTTTGACAAGGGTGCCAAAACAATTCAGTGAGGGAAACAATAGTCTTATCAACAAATGGTGCTGGGACAACTGGTTATCTACATGCAGCAGAATGACTTTGGAACCCTACCTCATACTAGATACAAAAATCAACTCAAAATGTATCAAAAGACCAAACTGTAAGAGCTAAAAGTCTTTGGAAAAAACATAGAAGTAAATCTTAGGTTAGGCAATGATTTCTGTTTTTCTTTTTTTGAGGAAGATTAGCCCTGAGCTCACTGCTGCCAATCCTCCTCTTTTTGCTGAGGAAGACTGGCCCTGAGCTAACATCCATGCCCATCTTCCTCTACTTTATACATGGGACGCCTACCACAGCATGGCCTGCCAAGCGGTGCCCTGTCCGCACCCGGGATCCGGACCTGTGAACCCTGGGCCGCCGAAACAGAACGTGCACACTTAATCGCTGTGCCACTGGGCCGGCCCAGGCACTGATTTCTTAAGTATGACACCAAAACCACAAAAAGCCAAAGAGAAAACAGATAAAGTGGACTTCAGAAAAATTTAAAACTTTTGTGCTTCAAAGGACACCATTAAGAAAGTGAAAAGGCAACCCACAGAATGAGAGAAAATATTTGCAAATCGTATCTCTAATAAGGGACTTGTATACAGAATACATAAAAGACTCTTACAACTCAATAAAAAGACAAATAACCCAATTTAAAAGTGAGCAAATAATCTGAATAGGCATTTCTTCGAAGAAGATACACAAATGGCCAATAAGCACATCAAAGGTGCTCAACATTAATAATCGTCAAGGAAACTGCAAATCAAAACTCCAATGAGATATCACTTCAGACCAACTAGAATGGATATAACAAAAAAGACAGATAATAACAAGTGTTGACAGGATATGGAGAAACTGCAATCCTCAGACATTGCTGGTGGGAATGTACAATGGTGTAGTAGCTTTGGAAAATGGTTTGGCATTTCCTCAAAATGTTAAACATAAGAGGCATCATATAACCCAGCAATTCCACTGCTAGGTGTTCTATGCCTAGCAGTTCCACCCAAGAGAAATGAAAAAGTATGTCCACACAAAAACTTATATGTGGGGGCCGGCCCGGTGGTGCAGTGGTTAAGTTTGTACGTTCTGCTTCGGTGCCCTGGGGTTCACCGGTTCAGATCCTGGTGCAGACATGGCACTGCTTGGCACGCCATGCTGTGATAGGCATCCCACATATGAAGTAGAGGAAGATGGGCATGGATGTTAGCTCAGGGCCAGTCTTCCTCAGCAAAAAGAGGAGGATTGGCAGCAGTTAGCTCAGGGCTGATCTTCCTCAAAAACAAAACAAAACAAAACTTATATGTGAATTTTCACAGAAGCATTGTTTATAATAGCCAAAGGTGGAAACAACCGAAATATCCACCAACTGATGAATGGACAAATAAAATATGGTATACTCATACAATAGAATAAATTATAGCCATAAAAAAGAAGTACTGATACAAGGTGCAATATGGATGAATCTCAGAAAAATTATGCTATGTGAAAGAAACAAGTCATAAAAGACCACATATTCTATGATTCTATCTATGTGAAATGTCCAGAATAGGAAAAGTCCTGTTTATAGGGACAGAAAGTAGATTACTCAAGTTTGCTTGGGTCTGGTGGAGGGGAAATAGGGACTGACTGCTAACGGGTATGAGGTTTCTTTTGGTGGTGAATGAAAATGTTCTAAAATGGATTATAACGATATTTGCACAACTCTCTGAATTTACTAAAAATCATTGAACTGTATACTTTAAATGGGTGAATTGTATGGTGCATGACATATCTCAATAAAGCTGTTACAAAAAAAAATCACTGCAATACAAAAAGTTAGACACCATTATTTTGAAAATGGCAAGTATAAACTGCAATCAGTTAAGTCTCCCATTTATTCTAAATGGTCATACCAAACAAATGAATTTACCTGGATATTTATTTACTGTTGTAATATTACAGTTTTGTATTGATAGCATTTATACGTTAACACAGACATTAATGGTTAGAAGTTAGTGCGAATTATATAAAATCAAAAGAGCACATCCCATGGCTGTTCCATGCTCTGACATAACTAAATAGCTGTCACAAATATAGAGGTGAAAATTTAAATCTCAAAGCCCAAAATAATAACTCTGGAAAGGCCTGCATTACTTTTTGGTAACCATAAAACAGGTCTCCAGTAAATGTGACCTGCTTTCCCTGGGGGCTCATGGGGCAGGATTTATGGCTCCAAAGGCTATTGTGGAGATTACATCAATTCATCACACAGCATGGAGAGTTTAACAATATTCAGAATTTCCTTAAAGGGAGCTAACATAAAATTTGTCATCTAGGATTCATACAACGGAAATGTTCAATTATCCCATTGGTTAACAATGGAAAACACAGTCGCCTATTAACATTCTCTTCAATCATTTGACTATACTACTCCTGTGTACTTGAGGAGCAGCCAATAGGGAAGCCCTATGAAATACACGTGGTTTGAATATCATACAAAAACACTGAACCAGGAGTTAAAAGACCCAGGGAAAATCTCAGTACTACCTCTTCCTAGCCACGTGACCTTAAGTAAGTAACTTAACCTCTCTAAGCCTCATCTGTAATATGGGAATAATCCCTGCCTTGTCTACCTCATTGAATTGCTACATGGATTAAATAATAGAGTGTATGAAAAAGCACACCGAAAGCTTAATTCTAGAGTGCTACAAGACATTTAGAATTATTATTATAATATTCTAATATAACATACTAATTATTACTATCATTATTAAGAGAAGATATGTGAAAGGACTGCACTGTTTACAATGGTATTCTGCACGTCTAGTCCCAGCATGGAATGAGTGGATTCCAGGAAAGGGATAATAGGGAAGGACCCTGGACAGCTTCTCTCGCTCTAGACCTTCAGAGCATTGCTTTACGTTATTTGAGTTAATTCAAACAGCAGACATACTCACATTCAAAGATAAGTACTCAAAGCCAAATATAAATGGGAATTATTCCACTTTGGATTATGCATCCCTCCACTGGAGCAAACAGTCAAGAGCTGACTTTACATAAAGAAATCAGAGAAAACGAGATGTACATAAGGCCAACAGGGAAAAGGAAATTTGTAGTCAGATATGTGTTTGCTCACTTAAAGCAGCAACGCCATTCAGGAGTAGAACTTGCTTCTCTGAGAGTAGACTCAGCAATATCAATTTCAACAAACTATGGCATTCAAGGCACTATGATAGATTCCAGGGGCACAAAGATAAATTAAACATGATTCCTGACCTTACAGTCTAGCAGCTGAAGCAGACACATATGCTGCCAACTGGAATAGCTCGAAAACAGCCTATAGAATATTGACACAACCTGTTGAGTCAGTCTACGGTTAATCTAGTTGTACTCACTACAAAGGAAAATGCTCCAATATAGCACACGTCAATCAACTTCAGAAACAATGGATATAAGTTTCTCATTCTAAGCATAAGAATGATAAAACCTAAAATTAAAGTCTTAATGACAATCAGAAGTCATTTTTGATACTATACTCAGTAGATAAAACCAGGCAGGAGTCTATTTCTACTATCATACAAAATGTTAAAATACAGCACATTTTAAAACTCACTTTTGTACCAGGAGGCAATCCTTCAAGCTCTTTAGGCTTTATAAATGTCCGATGCTGGGTCTTGTGATCCATTTTCTCCTTGCAGGTCAAAAATTGTAGTCTGCATTTTGTACAACGATGAACTCCTTTTTTCTGTTTACAAAAAATGTTAGAAATAATAATTTCTACCCTCATGAATCCTGAGACTGAAAATTACTCTTAATTCTAATAGCTAAATAATCTCAAAACTAGTATTTTGCCATATCCCGTCACAAATAATATCAAACTATTTCATTTTTTAAAAGTGCTTCTTGCATTAATATTTGGGTTTCAAAAGTATTTGTTACCATATAAGCAATCAACATAAAAATTACGTCAATTAGGTTCCAATGGGACAAGTCCTATACCATTTGTAGTGTGAAAGCTTTTTTAATTATAAATTTGAAGTATAAACTATTCAAACATATGATACCGTAAAAATGAGCTATACTATATTTTTATCCTTGAAAAGAGCAAATTCTTTTTGATTTTTCTTATTTCCATTTGTTTCACAAGTTGGCAAAATGAACTGAAATTTCTAAAACCAAACAAATTTAACCAGACACTCCCCAAAAAGCTATGTTATAGAAATGGTTGTATAAATCAGTGCTGTCCAACAGAACTTTCCACGGAATGATAATGTTCTATAGCTTACTGTCCAATACGGTATCCACTAGCCAAATTTGGTTATTGGGCACTTGGAATGTGGTAAGTGCAACAGTGGAACTGATTTTTAAATTTTATTTAATTTTAATTAATTTAAATTTAAATTGACACATGTGGCTAGCGGTTGTGATATTGGAGAGCATGGGTATAGAAGCATCAATCAGAACAACTCATCCCAATCTACTGCTTGACTGTGTTCCTTCTCAAACCCAGTCCTGTTATTTTACTAATGGTAAATAGGACCCAAGAGAAATCTAAGTCATTTGCTCATAGCTACTCAGTGTTCTTTCTACTATATAGTATCAATTGCAATATTTATGTATATGCTCTTATTAACTTAAAAAATATATTTTATATTCATATGTAAATTTAGAACACAGAAATACAAAAGAATATTTTCCCTAAAGCTGGATCTCTACAGGCCCATCACTATTTCCATTTAAAAGACAAATAATCAGTCCGGTGGGTGCAGCAAAATGGCGGGGTGAGCTGACCCGGGATTCTCTCCCCTCCAAAATACAACAAAAGATTGGAAGAACTGAATTTCAGAGAATAAACATAATGCCAGCTTGTTAGAGACCTAGAATACCAAGAAGGCGGAGATCATAAATCCTAGCTTTATACCTTCCGAAGCGCTGGAACCGTAGGAGAGGACATCGCTCCCTCCCCTAGAGTCTGCGATGGCTGCGGCGCGGGTCGGGAAGGAGCGGGGGAGGGGCCGCGCGACCGGAGGATCATCCGGGACTCCTGCCGCTGATTCGCTGATTCAGTGGAGACCCGCTGATGGGGGGGAAAGCTGACGGGGGGTGGGGGTGGGGGCAAGCTTCCGTCCGCGGGGACCCTATAAATCAAGGGCCTTGGGAGACCAGAGAACAGAACTGATCTGAACCCAGACCGGTGCGCGTGTGAGTAACAGCCCCTCCCCCCTAACAAAGCCAGTGGGCGCAGCCATCTTGCCCCGAAGGCGGAGAGCTAACACGCCGCTCTCGACCCCCATCTAGTGGCGACAGGCTGTAACTGCAACTGAATTCTACCACCATGAGAAAAAACCGCTCCTCTACCATCCAGCAATTTATAAAAGCCCCAGACCAGAAGGAAAACAATAAAAACACAGAATTAAGTCCTGAGGACTTGGAATTAGGTAAACTAAGTGGTAATGAATTCAGAGCAGCTATAATCAAAAAACTCAATGAGGTAGAGAGAAAGATAGAGAAACAAGCCGAGTTCTGGAGTTACTTCACAAAAGAGATTGAAATCATAAAGAAGAATCAAACAGAATTACTTGAGATGAAAAACACAATGGACCAGATAAAACAGAATACGGATTCCCTGAATGCCCGTGTAGACAATACAGAGGAGCAAATCAGCATAATCGAGGACAGACAGGCTGAATGGCGCCAGACAGAGGAAGAAAGAGCCCTAAGAATTAAAAAAAATGAGGAAAATCTCCGAGAGATAATGGATTCAATGAGGAGTAAGAACATAAGGATCACAGGAATTCCCGAGAATATGGAAAAGGAAAATGGAGCAGAAGGTGTGCTTAACGAAATTATTGAAGAGAACTTCCCAAATCTAGGGATCAACGGAGAAATGTGTGTAGAGGAGGGTTTTAGATCTCCTAGATTTGTCAATGTAAAAAGACCCACGGCAAGGCACATAATAGTAAAGTTGGCAAATAGGAATGATAAGGAAAGAATACTCAGGGAAGTAAGAAAAAAAAAGAGAATAACCTATAAAGGAGCCCCTATCAGACTGTCAGCGGGTTTCTCTACAGAAACCCTACAAGCTAGGAGAGAATGGAGTGATATATTCAAAGCTTTAAAGGATAAAAACCTTCAGCCAAGAATACTCTATCCAGCAAGAATTTCCTTCAGATATGAGGGAGAAATTAAATCTTTCCCAGACAAACAAAAGTTAAGGGAATTTGTAACTAAAAGCCCTCCATTACAAGAAATCCTCAAGAAGGCTCTCATACTTGAAAAAAGAAAAAAGGGAGAAAGGGGACACAAGCCACAGACTAGGGAGACGGATGGATAGAACCAGAACAGGATAGCAAATACTCAACTATAGCATTAGGGTAAAAATAAGGAAACTACCAAAACAAGGACGATCTTAGCACTCTAACTACAAATTAATAAGACGAGTTGGAATAAAAAATGAAAATAATTATTTAGGAGGGGAAGAGCAAAGGGTCTAAATCAGTATTGGTCGAGTAAGTAAGAGACCACCAGAGAATAGACTATATTATACACGAGATTCTAAATACAAACTTCAAGGTAGACACTAAAATAAAGTACAGAACAGAGTCACAAATCATAGATAAGGAAAAATCTAAGAAACCCAGCATAAGAAATTGCAGTATTAAATGGATAGTCTAAAGCACACAGGAAAAGAAACACAGGAAAACAAGATAATGAGCGACAGATTGACAGCATTAAGTCCACATGCATCTATAATCACTCTCAATGTGAACGGATTGAACGCTCCAATAAAAAGACACAGAGTGGCAAAATGGATTAAAGAACAAGATCCAACAATTTGTTGCCTCCAGGAAACACACCTCAGCCCCAAGGACAAACACAGACTCAGGGTGAAGGGGTGGAGGACAATACTTCAAGCAAATAGCAAGGAAAAAAAGGCAGGTGTTGCAATTCTCATATCAGACCAAGTGGATTTCAAAATAAGACAGGTAAAGAGAGACACAGAGGGACAATATATAATGATCAAAGGGACACTTCGTCAAGAAGAAATAACGCTTATAAATGTCTATGCACCCAACACAGGAGCACCAAGATTCATAAAGCAACTATTAACAGACCTAAAGGAAGATGTTAAAAACAACACAATAATAGTAGGGGACCCCAACACCCCACTCACATCAATGGACAGATCATCCAGACAGAAAATCAACAAGGAAATAGTGGAGCTGAATGAAAAACTAAAACAATTGGACTTAATAGACATATATAGATCACTCCACCCTGAAGGAGCTGAATACACATTCTTCTCAAGTGCACATGGAACATTCTCTAGGATAGACCATATGCTCGGAAACAAGGCAAGCCTCTACAAATTTAAAAAAATCGAAATATTAACAAGCACCTTCTCAGATCATAGTGCTATAAGGCTAGAAATTAATTACAAGAAAAAAGTTGAGAAAGGCACAAAGATGTGGAGACTAAACAACACACTACTGAACAAGCAATGGATCACTGAAGAAATTAAAGAAGAAATAAAAAAATACCTGGAAACAAATGAAAATGATAGCATGCCAAACCAACTCATATGGGATACAGCAAAAGCTGCATTAAGAGGAAAATTCATCACAATACAGGCACATCTTAACAAACAAGAAAAATCCCAAATAAGCAACCTTAAAGCACAGCTAACTGAACCAGAGAAAAAAGAACAAATGAAGCCCAAAGTCAGCAGAAGGAGGGAAATAATAAAAATCAGAGCAGAAATAAATACTATGAAACGAAAAAGGCAGTAGAAAGGATCAATGAGACAAAGAGCTGGTTTTTTGAGAAGATAAATAAAATTGACAAACCACTAGCCAGACTTACAAAGAAAAAAAGGGAGAAAGCTCAAAATAAACAAAATCAGAAATGAGCGAGGAGAAATAACAACAGACTCTGCAGAAATACAACAGATTACAAGAGAATACTACAAAAAGCTATATGCCAACAGAATGGATAACCTAGAGGAAATGGATAAATTCTTGGACTCCTACAATCTCCCAAAGCTCACTCAAGAAGAGGCAGACAATTTGACAGACCAATCACAAGGAAAGAGATTGAAACAGCAATCAAAAACATCCCAAAGAATAAAACCCCAGGACCAGATGGCTTTCCTGGGGAATTCTACCAAACTTTCAGAGAGGCTTTAATACCCATCCTTTTCAAGCGATTCCAAAAAATTAGGGAAGATGGAACACTTCCTAACACATTCTATGAGGCCAACATCACGCTGATCCCAAAACCTGACAAGGACACCACGAAAAAAGAGAACTACAGGCCAATATCACTGATGAACATGGATGCAAAAATCCTAAACAAAATTTTGGCAACCAGAATTCAGCAATCCATCAAAAGAATCATACATCAGGATCAGGTGGGATTCATACCAGGGACACAGGGATGGTTCAACATCTGCAAATCAATCAACGTGATACACCACATCAACAAACTGAGGAATAAAAACCACATGGTCATCTCAATAGATGCAGAGAAGGCATTTGACAAGATCCAACAGCCATTTATGATAAAAACTCTGAACAAAATGGGCATAGAAGGAAACTACCTCAACATAATAAAGGCCATATACGACAAACCCATAGCCAACATCATACTCAGTGGGCAAAAACTGAACCCCATCCCCCTGAAAACAGGAACGAGACAAGGATGCCCTCTATCACCACTCTTATTTAACATAGTACTGGAGGTCCT